TGTCCCTCTAGAAGGTCTTCAGAGGTCGTAACACATGTGGAGCTGTCATCTCCTGTGATAACAATGCCTTCTTCTGAAATACCTCCTGAAAGACCTACCTGAGTCTGTGTGTGTGTGTGTGTGTGTGTGTGTGTGTGTGTGTTTGGTTTGGGTTTTGTTTTGGTTTTTTGTTTTTTGTTTTTTGAGACAGGGTCTCACTTTGTCACCCAGGCTGGAATGCAATGGCACGATCTTGGCTCACTGAAGCCTCAACCTCCCAAATTCAAGCAGTTCTCCCACCTCAGCCCCCCAAGTAGCTGGGACTACAGACACACGCATCACACCTGGCTAATTTTTGTATTTTTTGTAGAGACAGGGTTTCACCACGTTGCCCAGGCTGGTCTCGAACTCCTGAGCTCAAGTGATCCACCCAAAGTGCTAGGATTACAGGTGTGAGCCCCTGCCCCCGGCCTTGAATCTGTTTTGTAGTTTTTAATAAGTAGCAGGACATTCTTTTTAAGACAGGCTCTTGCCACTGTCACTCAGGCTGGAGTGCAGTGGTGCAACCACTGCTCACTTGCAGCTGTGACCTCCTGGGCTCAAGTAATCCCCGACCTCAGCCTCCGAGTATCCAGGACTACAGGCGTGTGTGCCACTACACCTAGCTATTTTTTTAATTTTCAGTAGTGATAGGGTCTCACTGTGTGGCCCAACCAGATCTCGAACTCCTGGGCTCAAGCGATCCTCCCGCCTCAGCCTCCCAAAGGGCTGGGATTACAGGCGTGAGCCGCCAAACCCGGCTCAGAAGGACTACATTCTAAAATAATAGTTAAAAATATAGTAAATACATAAACCAATAATAGCCATTTATTATCATTACCAAGTCTTACATACTGTCTGCTATACTTTTAAACAACTGCTAGCACAGTAGGACTACAGACATGTGAGTGATGTATTATGCTATGACATCACTGGGTGATAGGAATTTTTCAGCTTCTTTATAATCTTAGGGGGCCGCCATCATATATGCAATCTGTCATTAACCAAAATGTCACTTTGTGATACATGACTGTATGAGGAAAATTAAAGAATGGAACCAGTATAACTGTGCATTAATGTGGGAATGGATAAAATTGTTTATACAATGAGTGTTCTTCAGCAGTTAAATTGAATGAGCTAGCTGTATATGTTTCAATAAAGAAAGATGTCTCAAAAACAATATGAATTGCAAAATAAGTTTCATGAAGTTATATGTAGTTGAGTTTCCCTTATTTGAAAAGCCTGGGACTAGAAGTTTCAGTTTGTTTTTTTTTTTTCCTTTGGATTTTGGAATATTTGCATATATGCAATGAGATATCTTGGGATAGGGCCCAAAATCTAAAACCAAGTTGATTTGTTTCATATACATCTTATACACACAGCCTTAAGGTAATATAAGCAATATTTTAAGTAACTTCATGCATGACATAAAGTTTTGACTGTAACCTGTCATATGAGGTCAGGTGTGGAGTTTCTTTTTGTGTACTGACATGATATGATGCTTTTGGCATCATGTTGGTACTCAGAAAGTTAAAGATTTTGGAGTATTTCAGATTTTGGACATTTGGATTTTTAAAATGCTCGGCCGGGTGCAGTGGCTTATGCCTGTAATCCCAGCACTTTGGGAAGCTGAGGTGGGCAGATCACTTGAGGTCAGGAGTTTGAGACCAGCCTGGCCAACATGGTGAAACCCCATCTCTACTGAAAATAGAAAAATTAGCCAAGCATGGTGGTGCACACCTATAATCCCAGCTACTCGGGAGGCTGAGGCAGGAGAATTGTTTGAACCTGGGAGGCGGAGGTTGTGGTGAGCCGAGATCACAGCACTACACTCCAGCCTGGGCAACAGAACAAGACTCCACCTCCAAAAAAAAAAAAAAAAGCTAAAAATAAATAAAATACTAATACATGTAAGGATAATAGATACATAGTAAACAGATACATATAGTAAAATCACCAACTACAGAATAATGGCTTCTACGGAAGTTAAGAGCAAAGGAAATAGGGTGAGTCTTTAGCTAATTAAGTAATGTTTGGTTTTGTAAGAGATCTGAAGCAAATATGGCAAAAAAATTAAAATCTAAATATGATTGGTGACACATTAGTTACCTTTTTGTGCATACTGTATGTTTGAATTTTTTTAAAAATTTCAGTTAAATTTAAGAAAAAGCAGTTTTCAGATGATTAGTGCTAAAAAGAATTATTATTCATTAAACTCTGATCTTCCTCACAGAAAAACATGTAATGCAAGTAAAATTGATTTTTTTCCCCACAATATTTATGATCCTAGATGCCAACCTGTTACTGCACTCCAGGCCACTATCACTCCAGCCAACCTCAGTATCGCCCAGTCCCTTCTGTTCATTACAATTCACATCTAAACCAACCACTGCCACAACCTGCGCAGCAGACAGGTGAGTTGTGTTTCTTATGTCATAACTTCTGAGCCATGCTTTTTTCCATCTTCTATTTCAGTATTGCTCTTAAGTAGTACCTACTCAGTCTCTCAGGATGTCGAATATGTTCATACATAAGAGTTTGCAAACCAGTGAGATTAAAAGAGTGAGCAAATCTCAGCATCCTCTGGAAAATACTACAGTGTCAGGTCTACATGCTAAAGGGTTGGGAGTATCTGGGAGTATCTTAAGCAGTTTTTTAAGTGGCTCCCATCTCTCACTGCCATTGAAATTGAAGCTGTCTTTGCAGCCTGATAAATCACCTATGGTAACAGCAAGAGAGGCAAGGCAGGGCAAGATGACTTATCAATAGCTAACCAGAAGCAAAGATCAAAACCACCTAACTTGGACTGAGAACCCTAGTCTAGGGATGATATTTTTATCTTTTAGTGAGTATGCCTTTGAAAGAAATGATGTACTTAGCATATTTTCTATGTTTTGCTTTTCAGTTTGTTGATTGATAGTGAAAAGTATTTTTAAACAAAATACAATCTAAGGCCACTTAAATGAAATTTATTAAAACTCAGCATTGCTTTGTTTTAGCACTCTACAGATTTTCTTCAAGCATTCAGTGAAAACAATTTTGATCTCAGTGTATAAAACTATCTTACCGACTTTTTAATGAACTCATTTCTCTATATGCTTCTCACCTAGATGTGTACTTCCCAGATGTTTAATAAGGTATTTATTCAGCCTTTTATAACTCTAGGAGTTGAAGTAGAATTTTGTCATTGGTTTCTTTAGAGCTTTCTTGACTGCTTTTCCCTATTGGAGGCTCCCAGACTATGTGAGTGTGACTCACTGAGGAACCCATAACCTCCACCTCCACTGAGGCTGTTTACTACTCTTGATATTGTGTGAAGCTCTTCAGGGTTACCACCAGTTTAGGAGAAGCATCTCTGCACTGGCCCATCTGATGAATAGTAGTCATACTTCTCTTTACTGTTGCAGTCTTCAGTGATCAGTGTGACTCACTAACTTTCTTTGCTAGATATAGTTCATGCTTAGCATAGCCATGCAGGATAACTTCCAGGTCCTTAATCTGGTACCCTTAGGAGTTGTCTCATGGTTAGTTTACAGGTTCTCCCCTTTTTAATATGGTACTAGCCTTGTATGTACCTGTGACAAATGTCCTCCCAAAGAATGTTGAATACAAACATTCGTCATTTTAGCCAAGTTAGAACTGTAGTTCCAGGCTACCTAAAATTTAATAGTGCAGTCCACATCAAATAATGTAACTAGTATATGATATATTTTCAAAAGGTATCAAAAATTATTCTCTATTCGTGGGAACATTGGTTGTGATACTGCTCATTAGCTGGTACTGCTCATTAGCTTTATATACATTGGTGTTTTATTCAGAAACAATTTTCTGAATTTTTCTGGACCTCAAGTAATATAATTTTCATATTTTTTTTCTGATTTTTGTCTTCCAAAATTATAACACAGACTGTACCTGATGCCATAATAAAGAAATGTACCTTTATGCTACTCATTTAAATATCCTTGTGTGTGACTAATTAACTTAATTCATTAGTACATCCTAGGCAGGCAAAAATCCTTTGTTCTGTATTTGTGTTAGCTTTCTAATTTTGTTCTTCAACATGGCAAAATTTTTATCCCTCTCCATGGTCAAACTGCCTGTAAAATCACTTTCAATCACAAATTGGGACTAGTGTGCAAGTACAATTGCCTCTCTGCAAAAAAAAAAAAAAAAAGACACTTAATGGAATACAACTAAATATGCCTTTTCAGGGGTAAAAACATCTATGTGACAGATAGCATGTGTTTATTATTGGTGATATTTAATTGTGGGGTTTTCTCTGATGCTAGTTATGATGAGAAGGAAGAAACAATCAGATTGCATCTGAATAGTGCTACAGGTGCAAAAAAGAGAATCGTGTCTTTGAAAAATGTTTAACATTGTATTTGACTCTTTTGAGTCAGTCATAATATAGCACTTGATATAAACTAGACTTGTCCTTTCAGCTATTTTATGTAGTATCCTCTTAACTTACAGCTTAAGTTAGTTGACTCATTCAGTTTGAAGAATAAAAGGAATAAATCCTCAAAACATTCTTATCTAAAAGAGAAAGGAATTTTGTTATGCTAATAAGTATCATAGATAATTTTCCTTTAAAGAAAAGTTCAGCAGTGCCAGTGCCAACTATTGTGTTGGTAATTGTATTGAATCTTTTCATAGAATTAGTGGGGATTTTAACTCTTTTTTAAAAGTTGTAATCTAAAGACTTTTTTATAGTTAGCTCATCATTAATTTTTATGTCAAAACTTGCAGAAGGCCAGGCGTGGTGGCTAACACCTGTAATCCCACCACTCTGGGAGGCCGAGGCGGGTGGATCATCTGAGGTCAGGAGTTTGAGACCAGCCTGGCCAACATTATGCAACCCTGTGTCTACTTTAAAAATGCAAAAAAAAAAAATTAGCCAGGTGTGGTGGCGCACACCTGTAATCCCAGCTACTTGGGAGGCTGAGGCAGGAGAATCATTTGAACCTGGGAGGCGGAGGTTCCAGTGAGCCGAGATGGTGCCACTGCACTCCAGCCTGGGCAACAGAGTGAGACTCAGTCTCAAAATAAAAAAAAAAAATTAACAGAAAAGTATGTGTTAATGTTTGTATGTGCCCTAGTGTAGAAAAGTAAAATGTACTGGGAAATTAACAAGACAGTTTATTGTTTTTGAGGTTTTTTTACAGATATATAGCAATTACTGTCTCATAATTTACATTTTTATATGCAAACATACTTCTGGGATTCCTTTTGGCTTTTATTTTCTTACCTCTCTACAGTCTACTATCCCAATCTGGTTAAAAATGAGAAATAATTTTTCATATCTTATATTTTTATGTCTTGTCAAACAACACTTGCTTACCCCACAAAGTGTCAAGAAGCATGTTTTTTTTTAATTACATAAAAGGGTGAAACTATTCAACCAAATAATGAAAACACTAGTAGATTTGGCATGGTTTTTTTTTTTTTCTTTCCCACTATGGCACAAGTAATGTTTAAATGTTTATATTTGAACTCAAAGAAATTTTGCCCTCAATTAACAAACCCAACTGAGCAAAGTATTTTTAGACCAGATAGGGTATGGGCAGTAGAAATACGGAATCTTTTATTATTTTTCCTTTGGCGGGTAGGGAGGAGGTTGGGGAAATATCTCAAGGATAAAATGCTCTAGGTCTTTTACCCATGTGTGCCAGTGGACCCCAGCTGAAGTCAGGACTAACATTACTGCTGGGTAAATGAATGTACTAGTCTTTTGTTATGAATGTGAAACTACTGGACTGTTCATTCAAAACAAGGTTGCATAAACCCATATCAACAGAAACAGAAGAAACCCTGGCTACACACATAAGACTTTCTGGACAATGCACTGTATGATGGAAAGAACAACAAAATAAAAGTCAGAATCCTGATGGCCCTTAGTCATTTTTAACTGGTGTTAGGCATATCACTTAAAGCCACTGAGTTTCAGTTGGACTCATTTGCAAAGTATGGAAGTTTTACTGTATTGTCTGTTGAAGCCTCTGTGTACTCTAAAACTCCATGATTCTTTGTGTCTCATATGAGTCATTTTTAGTTCAGAAAGGTAGAATAATAGAGAATTGGTTTGTAACAGCTTGGCAACCAACTGTCAATAACTGGAATCAATAAAAGCAACTATTTCAAAAGATCAGATTACCAGTTGCACTAATAAAGATTTATTACTTTAAACCTTTATCATAAAATGTATGCTTTGAATACTGTAAAGTACACTGCATATAAGGAGTTTGGTATACTATAAAGAAACTTTTTCTGCAGGTAGTAATTATAGTGAAGATTTTAGGTTTACAAAGCCCTAGCTGTTTTCTGTGTAGCTGTTGTTATTCTTATGACTCTTGAAAAGTTTGTAGCTTCACCATATACATTTAATATTTTGCAATAATTGGCCTTGTTCCTGAGCTGTTGGATTCGGGGCCGTAGCACTGTCTGAGAGGTTTACATTTCTCACAGTGAACCGGTCTCTTTTTCAGCTGCTTCCTGGCTTCTTTTTACTCAGGTTTCCACTGCTTTTTTGCTTTTTTTTAATGCTGTATGAAGGTGTTAACATTTGTTTATATTTTTCATTAATTGTAATACCTTTAAATCATGCATCATACTCAGAAATAGGGATTTGAATTTAAGTGACAGCTTTGGCCTAATGTAATTTACCTATTAAAAATTTGTGAGAGCTATTGCTTATTTCTTTTCCAAAGTAAGATTTGGATGGCAAATTCAGTTTGGTTTTGAGCTTATATAAAAAGCTTAATGTTTTAAGCATACCAAACTCATTAGCAGAAGTCAAGTATATCTCTCCCTATTGCTACACAACTTTTTAGGGATATTGTTATATATGAAAGCATGACATCAGACAGACCTAATACACCTAAATGCATTTGAAGCTACTTGGGCTCAGCTCTTACCAACGATATAATTTAATTTTTTTCCCCAAACAATGATGTTGTTGCATATCTTTGGGAAGCAAAATGATTCTGTGAAACTATACTTTTAGTTTTGCAACCATTTGATAACTTCAAAGATTATCATTGCATTATATCCTTAGTCTTAGCTTTCCAGATAACCCAGAATCATATGGTTCCAAGTTGATTAAGCTTTGTTACCAGCAGACTATGGTAGGATCCTGATGAACGACACTGTGGAAGAAACTTGTTAGGATAAACAGTCTTCAGTGTGTGCAGATTGTTGACAGAATTTCAAGGCACAAATTTAAGAGTAATGAGTGTGTAAAAGGCAAGCAGGAAAATCAGCACTACTGGGTAAGCAGATGAGGGGGCTTATTGATAGGAGAGTCAGCTATGTCAAATAGGGACTCTAGGCGCAAAGTCAATTTCTTTATTGACAACTTTCAATCCAAGTACTAGGAATTTTGTATTTGTAAATTACTAGGTAGTGGCTCTGGCTATTCTTGTTTTTTCATTGAATCTGTGAGCATTTCTTAGTATGTATTGTGTGATTCAGCATAGATTCAGACATTGTATAATACCTACAAATCCACCTATTTCCCTTTTCCCTTCTCCATTAACCTGCCGCCACTGAAATCTGGAGCCAAATATATCTGGTAAGTACCCACAGATTTCCTTGAGTTGTATAGACTCTTCCATGGAATAGTTCTTTAAATAGCTGTGAGCTGTAAACTCTGTGTGGCTGTTTTTGTTAGAATTGGTTTTTGTATATGTATATGTTTATTTCAGGCACAGGAGTGAGAGAAGAGGGGTTGATAGATAAGAAGGGGTAATCAAGTGTGGTAGCAACTGCATCTCCTTCCAAATACACCCATGGGGCTAGCTTTAGTTGAAATTGCCCGCCTACTGAAATAGTGCCACAGACAGAAGCCCAAGATTATAAGCTTGAGGTTTTAACAATTTGGTCTTGTAGATGCCTAGTTACAAATAAATTTGGCTTTAGTAAAATGGCTCATCTTTTAAAAAACAAAACAAAACAAATTACCTTCACAGTGCTTCTGCTGTACAAGCACAGTCTGAAAAAAAAAATTAATAGGTACTATTAAGTGAAATAACCTTAGATTCATGGGTATTCTAAGCAGTTCTTTAATTCTTTTTGTAATTTTTCTGATTATTTCTGTGTTATTAAGAGTGCTTTCCTTTAGAACAAATGGTAGTTCAGATCACCTATATAAAATAAAATTAGCCTGTTAATGCCTGTTCAATACATTTCTGCTGAGCACTACATTTCCTTCCTGCTCTTCTCAGTTAAAGTGAAAGAGAGTTAAAAATAGAATATTCTTTGGAGCCCTCCAGGGAAGTGCCTGAACCATCAATTTATATTGTCCTAGTTCTCTCAGCTTGCGGAATTGATTGTGCTTTCCTCTGAAAGTGCTGGAAGAAATGGCATACTATTGCAACAGTGCAGTCCTTTAACACAGCAGAATGGTAGTGTTTAAAAAATATATATATATATATGTTGCGATCTGGATATTTATTTTGTTGTTTGGTATCACTTACTATTGGCATTTCTTACTTTACAAAATAGAGGCTTTCCCACAATATTGACATAAATTCCTATAAAAGATATACTGTTTTCCTCTACTTTCCAGGTTAAATTCAGATGTATCACAGGAAGAATTTTTCTTAATTCTAATATACTGAAATATACTTTTTAATGGAGAAAGAATAATTTATGTGGTAGCCAGCTTGGTGTCTGTATACTGGAAATACTCTTCTTGTAGCATTTTTGAAACCTGTTGATACTTTTCATTCTCTAGTAATCTACTTCTCCTTCCTAATCCTCAACCTTCTCCCTCTTTTCCAGATCATTGGATTTTTCTTTCTCATACTTGGCAGTCTTCAAACTATACTTTTGACACTATCAGAACTCTGTACCACTCTTGTTTTTGTCTGAATAATTAGACAAGGAACCTAAACTACAATGCCACTTCTCTAGGTGTCACTCTGTAACGGTTCATGCCCAGCAGTCTGAAATTTCTTTGTTTAAACGAAAGTTCAGAGGAATTCATGAGCAACTTGAACAGTTCAAGATGTAAATTTTATTAAGCAAATGTACATAATGTGAGGCATACCTGTAATTAAATGATCCTTTATTTTAATGTTAACAATTATTTTATTAATGGTTTTGTCTTACATAGGCAAAAGTAAGATTCTTATCTTTGATTGGATTAGGTGAATGATGTGGGGTTTTTTGTTTTTAGTGCTTTCCAGCTGAGTATTTCTAGTTTTGCTTGTGATTATAGTAATTTTAACCAATATAGATCCCAGTTTTATTTTCTTTTTAATTAGAACAAATGCCAGTCTGTGATGCCTGTTGAGTACTTTTCTGCTGAGCACTGCATTAGAAAAAGACCAATAATCTTTTAGTAATCTTTAATGTTCTGCTCTTTAGAGAATATAATTCAAAATTATATACTTTTTAGCCAGTTACTATGTTGTATGTTTGTTATAATTATTAGAATGAGTGATAAAACAATTCATCATGACTTCTGGAAAAACCGTTCAGATACCTGTCCTACTGCCAGTAGAATTTCCCTCCTGGGGTACCGATCATACTGAGCATCAGATGTTAAATGACAATTTTAGTTGTGATAGTTTAGAACGGTTCCTCAGACCCTGATGGCTTTCTACCCAGTGTAGTTTAAACCTGGTGGGTTTTCCTGCTTTTTATGTAAAAATGAAATGCTACTCAGTGGATGGAAAAAAGCCATTGCTTCACAGAACTTCAAGACTTCACCCATAAAACGTAGCAGCCCTCCTTGCACAAAATTTGTCCAGGTTAAAGCTGGCATTGCCCTGCTGAGTAAAGTCTGACTTCTTGGCAAAGCAGCCTGACTTTGTGGAGAAGACAGCCAGTATCTATGAAAACTCTGCTAAACAAATCTTCTATAGACTCATCTGGAATGTGGCAACAGACATTTTGAGCAAAAGCAGCCTTCGAGGCAAAACAGCAAAACTAAAGTCCAAAGGGAACATTGGCAATTCACATGGAAATACTCAGGCTGAGAGACAGAACTGTGGGATGTGGAACCTGAAATAGTGTCACCATTTGAGCCAGTTCTGCTCCTTCCCAATTGTCTTTTGTTATGTTTTAATATTTTAGAGACAGAGTCTCACTGTTTTGCCTACACTGGAGTGCAGTGGCCCTTCCTAATTGTTTAATACAATTTATGCATATAATCTAATTATAGCAAGGCAAGGAAGTGTAACTTTGAAATACATAAATAGTAAACCTCGCATCTTGGGGGTAGTGGGCAAACCAAGGGAAGGACTGTTCCTCCCACAGAGAGAACATTATGGGCTAGTCATATACTCATTTACACGTGCTCTTTTTTAAAGCCCCCAAGTTCATATGGCTGCCATCTGGACTAACTACTCAAAAATTTTCACTCTGATTCCTATTTTGAATAACAATGCTTATACTCACCAATAAATCTTTAGTTCAAATGAACAAAAAGTTTCCTTGTTGATTGACATTATTTCCAGCAATTATCTGTTTTCCTGTAATTAAGTTTATCTTGAGACTTAGGTATGTTAAGCTACAGTAAAATCTTCATTAACCAAAATTATCAGAAAATGAAACAAGGCCGGGTTCTGCTTATTTGAACAACATTACTATAATACTTTTTTCTTCTTCAACATGTGTTCCTCAAAAAAGTAAATTTTAGAATCAGACAGCTGTGTGCAACTCCCAGCTACACACTTGATAGCTATTGACCATAAACAAGGTATGAACCTCTCTGTGCCTTTTGTTTCCTCATCTGAAAAATAGGGATAATAATTGTGTCTATTTCATAAGATTGTGAACACTAAATGAGTTAACATATCCTAAGTACTCATAATAGTGCCTGAAACTTAATAAATGTCATTTGAGGCTTCGGTATTAAGATTAGCTTGTGTGGGCCAGGCACAGTGGCTCACGCCTGTAATCCCAGCACTTTGGGAGGCCGAGGCGGGCAGATCACGAGGTCAGGAGATCGAGACCATCCTGGCTAACAGGGTGAAACCCTGTCTCTACTAAAAATACAAAAAATTAGCTGGGCGTGGTGGCGGGCGCCTGTAGTCCCAGCTACTGGGTGGCTGAGGCAGGAGAATGGCGTGAACCCAGGAGGTGGAGCTTGCAGTGAGCCGAGATCGCGCCACCGCACTCCAGCCTGGACAACAAAGTGAGCCTCCTTCTCAAAAAAAAATAAATAAATAAAAAGATTAGCTTGTGTGGCTGGGCGCGGTGGTTTACCCCTGTAATCCCAGCACTTCAGAAGGCCAAGGCAGTCCAATCACCTGGTGTCAGGAGTTCAAGATCAGCCTGGCCAACACGGTGAAACCCCATCTCTATTAAATATACAAATATTAGCTGGGTGTGCTGGCACACACCTGCAATCCCAGCTCCTTGGGCAAGAGAAGCACTTGAACCCAGGGGGTTGAGGTTACCATAAGCCGAGATGGCACCACTGCACTCCAGCCTGGGCAACAAAGCAAGACTCAGTTTCAAAAAAAAAACAAAAGATTAGCTGTGGTATCATTGTAGCAAAGATAATTATATATTAAATGAAAATTTAAATTTAAAATGAAAATATAATTTTAAAGATAATTTTAAGTGAAAATTTAAATTTAAAATGAAAGTATAATTTTAAATTATACTTTAAATGAAAAGACAGGAATTTGGGGGCCAAATTGCAAAGCAGACACAGGAAGCTGACATAGTTTGTTCTAAAATGTTTGTTTTTTGTCCTTTGAGCTTCTCAACCCACGCCTTCATCCTGAAAGTACAGTAAAGATCAGTTGAGTTGTTTGATGTTAAACTTGAGGTCTAAATATGTTTTGAAGAAAATTACTTAAATACTTTCTTCCCATACATTGTAAAATTTCTTTTGATCAGATGTGGAAGCATTATATGAAAAAAGATTTTGAACTGGTATGTGTCATATAACCCCATTTCTGTAAATAATGAAAATGAATATATATGTTGCCCTCTGCATAGAAAATTAGGCTAGCTACATATAAAAATGTAAATGGGGAGTATCTGTAAGTGATTATTTTCCCATACAGACTTTTTCTATTTTTGTATTTTTTTCCAAATTTTCTATAAAAATCTTTTTTATGCTCTATAAGGTTTTTATAAAATATATTAAGTCTACGTTTTTAAAAATATTCAGGCCAGGTGCCATTGCACACCACTATAATCCCAGCACTTGGGGAGGCCAACGAGGGCGGATCACTTTGAGCTCAGGAGTTCAAGACCAGCCTGGGCAACATGGCAAAACCCTGTCTCTACTAAAAATACAAAAATTAACTAGGTGAGGTGGCACACACCTGTAATTCCAGCTATTCAGGAGGCTGAGACAGGAGAATCGCTTGACTGAGGAGGTGGAGGTTGCAGTGAGGTGAGATCACGCCACTGTACTCTGTCCTGTGTGATAGAGTAAGACTGTCTCAAAAAATAATAGTAAATTAATTAAAAATAAAAATATTCAAATAATACCTTCATTACAAGCTTTATATACTAGATATAAAGTTAAACAGTTTGTATTCTTTATTTGAGTTCTTCCTAAGCACCTTGAGGCTAATCATATGGAATCTGTGATTTAGTTGCTGTACAGTTTTCTAGGAGAGACTTAATGAGTGATCCACAAATTCCAGTCTGATGTGATTTGTATTCGTGAGAGTGTCATTTTAATGAAAAGGTGATTAAATGTGTTTAATCTTATAAACCAATGTTACCTTAAAATTTTTTTAATTTTTATTTTTTTAAGATGGAGTTTCGCTCTTGTCGCCCAGTCTGGAGTTCAATGGCGCGATCTCAGCTCACTACAACCTCTGCCTCCTAGGTTCGAGTGATTCTCCTGCCTCAGCCTCCCAAGTAGCTGGGATTACAGGCATGCGCCACCACACCTGGCTAATTTTGTATTTGTAGTAGACATGGGGTTTCACTATGTTGGTCAGGCTGGTTTAACTCCTGGTGTCAGGTGATCTACCGACCTCAGCCTTCCAAAGTGCTGGGATTATAGGTGTGAACCACCGCGCTGGCCCAGTGTTACCTTAAAATTTAAATTCAGGCCGGGCGCCATGGCTCATGCCTATAATCCCAACACTTTGGGAGGCCGAGGCGGGCAGATAACCTGAAGTCACGAGTTCGAGACCAGCCTAGCCAACGTGGCGAAACCCTGTCTGTACTAAAAATACAAAAATTAGCTAGGCATGGTGGCACGCGCCTGTAATTCCAGCTACTCGGCAGGCTGAGGTATGAAAATCACTTAAACCCGGGAGGCGGAGGTTGCACTGAGCCAAGATGGCGCCACTGCGCTCCAACCTGGCGGACAGAGTAAGACTCTCTCTCAAAAAAAAAAAAAAAAAGCCTACACAAACCATGAGAGAACAACTAATCAGAAAACGTTTATGTTACCTGCAGAGTTTTATGAAATGTGGCAAAAGAGAATGGACAAAATCGTGAAGGGATTAATAAGATTCTTAGTGAAGGTATTTTTTTAAGTGCTTGGCATTATTATTTTTAATAGCTCCACTGTGTTCAAAAACTCAACCCTGGCTTATTTATGCTACTTCTGAATGAAGTACTGAGATGTTAGTGTTTTTTCTACTTTCACAATCTTTAAAATCTAGAACTTCCTGGTAGTTCTCATCACTCTTCTATGTGTAAAACCTTTGCTTCTTCATCAGTATTCTGTTGTAGCTTCATCTTCCACTTATCATTTCACATACCATATTCATTCATTCTTGACTATTCCCCATTCCTCAAACTTATTAACTGTCTTACTTTTTCCAAACCTGTTATTTTTGCTGGAATGAGCTTTTCCTTTAAGTCCAAGCCCAAATGTCACTACCTCCATAAATATCAGTCAGGACTAATTTCTTCCTCTTGTTTTCATAAGACTCTATTTATACTGCTATCCTCATATGGTATGGTGACTAAAAATGCCTAATTTCAAAGATAGGGACCATGTCATATCTATCTTTATCTAACCCAGATGGTGTCCTTTTTACTACCCTTTGTAACAAATGACCAGATGCTGAGATCAACTGTTTTATATTTCATGTCAAATTTTCAAAATGTGCGTGGTGTTTGTAAAGAGTGTGTGTGTGTGTGTGTGTGGCAATTAATAGGCATGGATATTAAAGGAGATTAGGCTGCATTAAAGAATAAGATACCAGGCCAGTCATGGTGGCTCACACCTGTAATCCCAGCACTTTGGGAGGCTGAGGTGGGTGGATCACCTGAAGTCAGGAGTTCAGGACCAGCCTGGCCAACATGGTGAAACCCCTACTAAAAATACAAAAATTAGCCGGGCATGGCAGTGCGTGCCTGTAGTCCCAGCTACTGGGGAGGCTGAGGCAAGAGAATTGCCTGAACCCAGTAGATGGTGGTTGCAGTGAGCCAAGATTGCACCACTGCACTCCAGCCTGAGCGAGAGAGACTGCATCTGAAAAAAAAAGAGAATAAGATACCATTGGAAATGTGCTGATGGAGCTTTCGTGATGTAGCCAGGCATAGTGGTGCACACCCATAGTCCTAGCTCCTCAGGAGGCCTAGGTGGGGAGGATCCTTTGAGCCCAGGAGCTCGAGTGTACAGTGAGCTGTGAACATGCCACTGCACTCCAGCCTTGACAACAGAGTGAGACTGTCTCTAATAAAACAAAGCAAAAAAACAAATTCCATGACTTAGAGTCCAACTGACCCCACATTAAATCACTACAATATGGCTTCTATAGGTATTTATTGAAAGCATTTTTTGTCTCAGACCTTTTATCATAATAGAGAATTTTAAGCAGGAGACCTCCAAGACGAGTCTCAAAAAATTGTTAAATTTAGATAAGTAAAAAGAATCAGACCTGGTACTGTGGCTAATGCCTGTAATCCCAACCCTTGGGGACGCCAAGGCAGGCGGATCACCTGTGGTCAGGAGTTGGAGACCAGTCTGGCCAATGTGGTGAAACCCCATCTCCAGTAAAAATAGAAAAATTAGCCGGGCATGATGGCATGTGCTTGTAATCGCATCTACTTGGGAGGCTGAGGCGGGAGAATCACTTGAACCCGGGAGGTGGAGGCTGCAGTGAGCCCAGATCGTGCCACTGCTCTCCAGCCTAGGCAACAGAGTGAGACTCCATCTCAGGGAAAAAAAAAAAAAAAATCAGAAGCACATTTGCACATAAATTGGCCTTGTTTTTTAAAGCTTTCTTTCGAGGCAACCTACAACCTTGAATATTTCTTGAATAGACTACAGAAGTAATATGCATAACATTTTTAGTTTCTTAGGGGGATATGACTGTTTTAAGTCAAATTATTTTAAGTCAGATTATATTACAGTGAATTCTGCCAGATATATACAGTTTGTTTTCATTTCAGTAGACTATAATTCTGCCAAGTCTGTTTTAAGAAGTTATTACCCAGTCTATACAGAACCCAAATTCTGATGCTTCTGTAGATGTGTGTATATGTTGAGGTGGCATTTCCAACTCAAAAAAAGGTCTCATGTTCACATTTCATTTTCATTCCTGTGTTATTTTTCTAAGGGTGGAAATTTGTCATTGTATGTTTTAATGGTGTTTGGAATTTGGGGTATAAATTTGAAATACTTGTCATTTGATGAACTGAAAATAGTGTGAAATGTTAATTGTTAGATTAAAAAGGAAGAAGTTTATTCTGTTCTCTGCCTTTACCTGCCTATAAGTTTAAGTAGTATAGGAAATTCACAAGGAATAAAGGTTTAGCAAACAGCATATTATCAATCACTTTGTTACAG